AAACTTAACCCCAGCTTAACCATTTTTTTAAACTGTTGCTTTTAGGCTTTTACACATACACATTCTGGAAGGTAGTCCTTTTTAATGATGGATCTGGCTGCACATGTCACAGCTGTGGTCCTTGTACATTCCTACCAAAAAACCTTCTGGAGGGTTCTGGTGGTGCAGTGGCAGTGTCCCTACCTCTGAGACAGGAGGCCGTGGTTTAAGTCCCATTGGCCCCAGAGGTGTGTAATAACATCTAGGAGCAGCTTGATGTAGGAAATAAAAACAAGCAATCCAGTCCAAGTATAAGCATTGCTGACAGAAGTGTACTAAGGCTCATCAGACAAACAAGGACACTCCCTTGGTACCTACTCCATAGCTTGACATCTTCTGTCTTGACTAAGCTACATGACCCTACCCAATACTCCAGAACTACTTATTTCTCTCTCTAAACATACAGAATAGAGTTCTTTGGTTAAACACAACAGACTGATGCCAGAGCAACTTTCTTCTCATTTACGTATGTTTTTTAAACCAAAACCCACCAGTTTCTGCTTAGTTTCTGTATAGTTCCACCCTCAGCATTTATCTGCATAGCAACCTCAGGGCTTTCTTGCTTCGAAAAGCTGGGTCATGTGTTCAAACAACTTTTGTTAAGTACACACAGGTTTAGTGACAAAAGTAAAGAACCTGAAATCCACTGCTAACTGAAATAAAAACTCTACGTTTTAAACCTTTAGTGTAACCCACAATAGGGACAATTATAACAATAGATATAACAACAAAAGAAATAGGAGCAGGAGTAGGCCATCTGGACCGTCGAGCCTGCTCCGCCATTCAATAAGATCATGGCTGATCTTTTCGTGGACTCAGCTCCACTTACCTGCCCGCTCACCATAACCCTTAATTCCTTTACTGTTCAAAAATCTATCTTTGCCTTAAAGACGTTAAATGAGGAAGCCTCAACTGCTTCACTGGGCAGGGAGTTCCACAGTTTCACAATCCTTTGGGTGAAGAAATTCCTCCTTAACTCAGACCTAAATCCGCTCCCCCTTATTTTGAGGCTATGACCCCTAGTTCGAGTTTCACCCGTCAGTGGAAACAACCTCGCTGCTCCTGTCTTATCTATTCCCTTCATAATTTTGTATGTTTCTATGAGATCCCCTCTTATTCTTCTATATATCCGATAGCTTGGTGTTTGGCATATCAGGGTCGAGAGGCTGAATGACCCTTGCCTCTACGTAGGTGCTTCACTGTTTTTACATTATCAAATTAATGCTTATTCAATGGCAAAAGCGAATAGATATTTAAACACCACATACTTGAAAAGGAACATCCGCCATAGTTTTAGCCAAGTAGTAAGCCTTCAGGCTGTACCAGTAGTTGAGGTGTTCTCTCAGAAAAACAGACATCTCCAGTGGAACTAATGTGAGAAAGAAAAACATGAACTGAGATTTTCCTGTGTGTGTGTTATAAATAACTAATAAAGATTAGTGTCTGTTTATAGTTCTACTTTCTAGAACAATACTTAAGGAAAACAGTGATAGGAAATAATTGTGGAGTCATTATGCCACTGAAGGAGGCCACTCTGCCCTCTGAGTCCATGCTGTCTCTAGTCTGAATTTAGTCAGAAGTCACACGACACTAGATCGTAGTCCAACACGTTAATTTGAAAGCACAAGCTATCGGAATGCTGCTCCTTCTTCAAGTGAAGTTAAAAGTGTTTTTCAATGTAATAATGACTCCTTTTTTGCATTCTCAATAAATACACATTTTCCAACATATTGAGTTTAAATTTGAACTGTGCTAGGAGTGCTGTGTGGTCAGAAGTACTGTTTTAAGGTCAGACTTTAAACAAGAACAGCTGTTATCTTTATCAGATGGCTGCAAAGGATATTTTGCAAAGGAACCATTTTGATGAAGGGCAGGAGTGTTCACACCCTTCCCCCAACCAATATTTCTCCCTCAATCAACAGCACTGAACAAACCTGGTGAATAGCACATTACTGCTTATGGGATGCCACACTTTATCAGTCTTCTGGTGCTGTGCTATAGTAGTTACTGCAGTTTGGAAGTATTTAACTGGTTGTAAATTGCTCCTGCATGCTCTAAGTGTAAATATGTACAGTAGTTGAGTATGTCAATGTTAAGTTTGGAAGTGTACGTGTGTGATGTCTGTCCCAGTGTACAAAGGCTTGAGAGTGTGAAATGATTAGGTGCTAATTCTACCCTTCATCACCAGGTTATTTAGGATTGAATAATGAGATTGTGAAAGGTGCTGTAAAAATGAATGTTCTTTTCCCCTGATACTTTTAAGCAGTTTCACTCACAAGAAGAAAACAGTTTCAAAGACTGAAACATAGAATCCCTACAGAGTGGAAGCAGGCCATTTGGCCCATCGAGTGCACGCCAACCCTCCAAAGAACATCCTTCCCCCAGCCCTGTAACCCCACAGTTCCCATGGCTAATCTACCTAACTTGCACACCCCCTGGACACTATGGGTAATTTATCATGGCCAATTCACCTAACCTGTACATCTTTGGACTGCGAAAGAAACTGAAGCACCTGGAGGAAACCCACGCAGACACAGGGAGAATGTGCAAACTCCACACAGACAGTCGCTCAATAGTGGAATCAAAACCAGGTTCCTGTTACTGTGAGACAGCAGTGCCAACCACTGAGCCACCGTGTTACCCTTGAAGGTTACAATCAAACAAGATGACAATAACATTTCTCCTTACAGGTCAAGACAGTCGGCATCAGAGCTGCAAACATGAGGAAGAGCATGGAGAAGAAGAGGCATCCTGTGTTGTTGAATACTTTCTCTGCTTCGTCACCAATGTTCAGGTACAGCAAACCAATGAGGACTCCAATGCAGATGTGAGACATGAATCGTAAATGGGTCAAAACCTACAGGAGACAAGACAATAGAGTCCACTGTGAGACTCAAAGCGGCACACGCCCCAAACAGTCACATACATCTCTCTCTCTCTCACACTCACTCACACACACACACAACACATGCAAATACACACAAAATAATACATTTCATTTTCCAATATTCTTCTAATCTTGCAGAACTTTGATCTCAGAACAGTTTCCTGACATCTTGAGTGTGGAAGCTCAGCAAGTGAAGGCTGGACTGATGACAGAAGATGTGTGAAACACTCAGTAGGTCTGGTAGCATATGTGGGGAAGAGGAACTGAATTTCCATTTCAGGTTCATAACTTTCCACCAGAAACTGGGTCATGCTGGTGTTGAGTATTTATTAAAGAGAGAGTTAGTGTAAAGAAAGGTGCAGGAAAAGAAAAACTCTAGGGAACAATCTGAGAATATGGGCTGGAGGGAGTATTTCAATAATAATGTGACTGAACAGTAACCAGTACATCCTCTATGGTATCATTGACCATGTCCTTTCTTAGCTGTCACACTTCCATTACCCGTGGCACTGCATTTGCTTAGAAGTTGTGCAGCTCAAAGATTTTTGCAGTTCTGATGAAAGATTGTTGATATAAAATGTGACCTCAGTTTCTATCTTCACCAAAGCAGCCGGATATCGAGCATTTACTGTTTTTGAAATCAGATTTTCAGCAATATTTTACTTCTGGTTGAACAAAGTTTTAGGGGAAGTAGGTAGCATCCTGCCTCTGAGCCAGAGGTATAAATCATACTTTGGGTCAATGAAGGTGCATTAACAACATGGTCAAATGGGTTGATGAGCAATGCCAGGGGTTAGCAGTAAGAGTGGGAGAGATTCCTGATCAGCTGTGTGATGGAAAGGCTGGGGCCTCCATCCATAGTTCCAGACTACAACATGCATGTTGCTACGACAACCTGGACTCCCCAAATGAACTGTAACACATCACTACCAATGAGGGTGACAGTGGACAGTGAAAACACTGGGAGTTCTGCCTTCCTCGGAGAAGGTCACAGTCAGATGTTGAAACTCTGTTGTATTTCCAACTCTAGGGAAGGGGGTTGGGACGGTAACAGCATCTTTTATCACATTCCCTCCCTGAACAAAAGAAAGCTGAAGTGAATTGTAAGCAACCCAGACCCTACATATCGATCAATCCCCAACCTACTACTGAAATTAACTCGTCATTCTAAAAGTGAGCAACAGCTGACCTTACCATGTCTCGCAGTATGGAAATGAAGGTCCTTCTGAAGAGGATATAAAACTGAACAAAGGAGCTTATTGCAAAAGTGCAGCTCTCAATGGGACCTGCGTCCTGTACAGACAAAGAGAGAAAATCAGAAGGGCATGCAAATTTCTAGTTTGTTTTTTCATCATGTTGAGGATATATTTTGCTTACATTCAGTTTTTGGCATTCAGTTTAGTTTGTCATGTATACAGACTAGTGCAGGCAAGAGCTTTCCTAGTCCAGCAATGACTGTCCTTCAAAACAGTTTGGCCTTTCCAGGTTTCTACATCCTTATCAACACCTATGACATCTTCTCTCTACAGTGCAGTACTGGGAGTGAGCGACACTGTCAGGAGATAACAAGGTGTGGAGCTGGATGAACACAGCAGGCTAAGCAGCATCAGAGGAGCAGGAAAGCTGACGTTTCGGGTCTGGACCCTTCTTCAGAAATGGGGGAGGGGAAGGGGACTCTGAAATAAATAGAGAGAGAGGGAGGTGATGATGGAAGGTGGATAGAGGAGCAGATTGGTGGAGAGAATGCTGTTTTTTTGCATTAGGCACGAATTAGGAGCAGAAGTAAGCATTAACCCCCTCTGAAATTCCATTAGATATAATTGTGCATGACCCTTGAGCTTGACCCCACTTTCTTGTCTGATTCCCAAATCTCTTGATTTCCTTGGGCCCCAAATCTAACAATCACAGCTTTCAAACGACTCAAAGACTGAACTTATAAAACCCCCTGGGGGAGAGAATTCCAAACAGCCTCAGCCCTTTGTGTGAAGAAATTTCTCCTCATCTCAATTCAAAATGGCCACCCCTTTATCCTCAACCTGCGCCCCCTAGTTCTAGGCTCTAGCAGTTAGGGGGATTACTTGTCCAAGCTACCCTGTCAAGCTCACTTAGAATCTGAGATGTTTCAGTGATAGTGGCGCTCATTCTTCTATCCTCTTTGCAATTCCTGAAGCATTAAACAGAGATCCTGTTTGCCCTCCTCAGTGGACATGAATATCTGGAAGACAAGCAGGGGAATTCTCCAACAGTGGAGATCTGCCTGATGTCATCCAACACCACAAAATCAGATGATCTGGCCATGGATGATTTTGCCATTTGTGGGAGCCTGCTGTGCAGGTGAGGAGGTGAGAATAGGTGCTATGTATATTTATGTCGTGGGACATGGGTGTTACTAGCTGGCTAGCATTTGTTGCCCCTTGAGAAGCTGGTGTTTCGCTGCCTTCTTGAACCGCTGCAATCCATGTGCTGTAGGTAGACCCACAATGCTGTTAGGGAGGGTTACCAGGGTTCTGGCCCAGTGACAATGAAGGAACTGTAACATATGACCGTAAGATATAGCAGCAGAATTATGCCATTCGGTCCACTGAGTCTATTCCACCATTTGATCATGGATAATATAGCATTCAACACCGTTCTCCTGCTTTCTCCCCATTACCCTTATATTTCCAAGTCAGAATGGTGAATGGTTTGGAGGGGAACCTGAGGTATTTATGCTGCATGTATTTATTTATTGAGTATTTTCTAAATATTTTATCATAGAATATGGAACATTGCAATTTATTGTCATTGGAACCCATTGAAAACTTGACCAGCTGAAGTCCACCTGTCTCTTGTTCCTTACGGTATCAAGAAATTCTTGATTCTCACTGGATTACCGTCAAGCTCTGGGATTTCCAGCTTGAAGGATCGCCCCCTTTGGATGGGTTCTTCTTTTCTGCCATGGTGCACATTCCATCTTGAACAGCCTTGAACAGCAGAGGGTTCAAATCTCCGTATTCACCCGAGGCAACTTCAATAACTGTGCAAGCAAGCGAAAGGCATGGTCAGGATGAAAAGGACAAAATTTAATGCTCAATAAAATACAGCAGAGGGTGAAGTGGGGAGTGGATTAATCCAGGTATATAGAGACTCATAGAATCCCTACAGTACAGAAAGAGGCCATTTGGCCCATAAAATCTGCACTGACCCTTTGAAGACCATTCTACTCAGACCTACCACTGTTTTTACCATGGCCAATTCACCTAATCTGCACATCCTTGGACACTACGGGCAATTTTTAGCATGGCCAATCTACCTAAACTGTACTAAACCTCCAGGAAGCTGGAGCACCCAGTGGAAACCCACATAAAACCAAGGAGATTGTGCAAACTCCACAAAGACAGTTGCCCGAGGGTGAAATCTAATACCGGTCCCTGATGCTGTGAGGCAGCAGTGCTAATCACGGAGCCACCGTGTCACCCGAAGTCCTGTCCCCACAAAGACAAAGCCCGGAGGACACATGGAAGAGAAACTTTGCACCAGTGATTTGAACCCAGCACACACAGGGAAGGAGCACTTCTTATTCATTCACAAAATGTGAGTGCCCCTGGCTAGGCCGGCTGGGCACTCCCTAATTGCCTAGGGGGCAAGCACATTGCTGTGGCTTTGGGGTCACATTTGGGCCAGACCAGTAAGAACAGCAGTTTCCTTTCCGAAGGGGAATATCCATCTGGTTAACAAATTTGTTAACCAGTTGGATATGCCCCATCCCCCCCCAGTGGTTTCATGGTCACTACTAGATGACACTTAAGTCCAGATTTTTAATAATTTCAAATTCCACCATCTGCAATGGCAGGATTTGAACCCAGGTGCCCAGAACCATTACCTGTGTCACCAGATTGCAAAAATACTCCTAGGCCATCACCTCCCCATACAGGTATCTAGCAATAAGTTGCAAAAGTTTAATTGAGAGCTTTTTTTGTGCAGTTAGAGTTTGTAGCACATACTAATTTACTTTTCTCATTTGTTCTTCTTTCCACTCCATATGATTTATTTTGTCTTTAGGTCAGCTAAAAAATGGAGGAATCAAGGAGCAGAGGAAACTACTTGAAAGAAGTGGTAAGGTCTTGGGGTGTGTTGCTGAACAAAAAGACCGTGGTGTGCAGGTTCACTGCTCCTTGAAAGTGGAGTCACATGTAGACAGGATAGTGAAGATGGTGTTTGGTACGCTTGCCTTTATTGGTCAGTGCATTGAGTATAGGAGTTGGGACATCATGTTGCGTCTGTACAGGACATTGGTTAGGCCACTTTTGGAATACTGCATTCAATTCTGGTCTCCCTGCTAAGGAAGGATGTTGCGAAACTTGAAAGGGTTCAGAAATTTCAAGCACGTTGCTGGAGTTGGAGGGTTTGATCTATAGGGAGAGGCTGAATAGGCTGGGGCTATTTTCTCTGGAGCGTCAGAGGCTGAGGGGTGACCTTATGGATGTTTACAAACTCAGGAGGCGCATGGATAGGGTGAAGAGCCAAGGTCTTTTTCCTGGGGTGGGGAGTCCAAAACTAGAGGGCATAAGCTTAAGGTGAGAGGGGAAAGATTTAAAAGGGACCTAAGGGGCAACATTTTCACACAGAGTGTGGGACACATATGGAATGAGCTGCCAGAGGAAGTGTTGGAGACTGGTACAATTACCAGTTTAAAAGATATCTGGACGGTAAATAAATAGGAAGGGTTTAGAGGGATATGGGCTAAATGTTGGCAAATGGGACTTGATTTATATAGGATATCTGGTTGGCATGGACGAGTTGGACCGAAGGGTCTGTTTCCATGCTGTGCATCTCTATGACTCTAAGCATCAGTGACTGGGTGTGGAGATTTGTCAGAAAGCCTCCCCATTTCCCCTCAGGCCTCCCAGTTTCCTGACGCTGCACTCTGCACACCAGTCTATAGTACGGTTCCACTGGGATGACGACTGCTCTCTGCTGAGCTGGCTCCAGCAAAGTTGGTCTTCACACACGAGCTTATACGTTGCCATCAGCAAATATTTACCAAATCTGATCCAAACTGAGCTGAAATTGACATACACATTCACTTTCCAGTGAGAGTATAGGAATCCAACCAATCTGTTTCCTTCACAAGGTGCACAGAGGCAATGACAGGATCTGGACTGACCCTCAGCCACACAGAGATACAGTCAGCTCACTGCATTGGTGCCAAATCCTAGGTACACCTCTCTAATTAATCCTACTCTCCTGCTCTTTCCCAATAGCCCTGTATCTTTCATATTCAACAAGAGTCTGTGTTCTAAACACATTAATAAAGCAGGGCTCTTTTCATAGATCATAGATCATAGAAGCCCTACAGTGTGGAAACAGGCCCTTCAGCCCAACAAGTCCATACCGACCCTCAGAGGATCCCACCTAATCTACACATCCCTGAACACTACGGGGAATTTAGCATGGCCAATCCACCTAGCCTGCACATTTTTGGGCTGTGGGAGGAAATTTTCACTTACTGAAGTCAGCAGGGTTGTGATAGGTTGGACAATGCAAGCCCAGTCCTTTAAGGTATGGAATGAGGCTGGGGACTATTCCTTTGTAGATGCACTGCCCTTGACTCACAATGAACAACTGAAAGGAGAGAAAAGAGATTGGAATTAAAACACACACTGTTAAAGGTTTCTCATTATTAAACTTGGCCATTTTGTAAAAAAAAACTCAAAATAATCAGATTCTTGCCATGTTCTATCCTAACTGCTGACAACTGAATGTTATTTGTTTAAATAGATGACATAACATCATGTTTATAGGATGACTAACTTGATGAAATTCATTTCTGACACTGTAGCAGAGTTGCATTAACACAAAGGAAATAGTCACACACCCACAAAGCTAACACATAACATCATAAGAAATAAGAGACAGTGTAGGCCATTCAGCCCCTCAGGGCTGCCCTGCCATTCCATCATATCATGACTGATCTGCCCCAATCTCAACTCCTCTTTCGTGCCAGCTCCTCACAGCCTCAATTCCTTGATGTTTCAAAAATCTATCCACCTCCTCTTTAAGCACTTTCAGTGATCGCGCCTCTAGAACTCTTTTGAATACAGAATTCTAGACAGTAAAGGAAAAGGTAATGTTGCCGTAGCCCTACCGAACCATCAGGCTGCTCACTCATTGAAGAGAGATGTCTGGTGGTGTTTAACCTGAGGGTCACCACACCTCAGATGAGGGGAAAGGTTGAGAAGGAGAGTCTCACCTTGCCTCAGCCAGTGCAGGAACTGAACCCATGCAGTTGGCATTACTCTGCATCGCCATCCAATTGTCCAGACACCCGGCTACCCTGACAGTATGTCTTTTTTTTTGAGTCCAGGAACCAAAACTGTACATTGCACTCCAGTTGTGATCTCATTAACACTATATATTGTTGTAACACTATTTCCCTATTTTTGACCTCCAATACTCCAGCAATAAAGGTCAAAATTTCATTGGCCTTCCTAACTACTATAAGCACCTGCATGCTAATTTCTTTATGTTTCATGCACCAGAACATCCAGATTCCACTGTGCTGTACTTTTTGAAGTCTCTCTTCATTTAAATAATAGCTTGCCTTTTCATTCTTCTTATCAATGTGTGTGGCATCACACTTTCCTTCTTTAAGCTCCATCTGCAAAGTTCTTGCCCAGTCACTCAACCTATCTTTATTCCCCACAGATTCTTTATGTCCTCAATACAACATGCCCTCCAACCTATTCTTGTTTGTTAGAAATTTGGATACATTACACTACCCCCTCTCCTCCAAAGCATTACTATGGATAGCTGATAATTAAGGTCCAACGACTGATCCTTGTGGCACTCCACTGGTTATGGCTTTCCAACCTCATAAAGACCCATTAATCCTGACTCTCTGCCTTCTAGGTGTTAACCAAGCCTCAATCCATGCTAATAAATCACCCCAAACCATGAGTTCCTACCTTGTGCAATAATCATTGTATGACATTTTATTGACTGCCTTTTGGAAATACAGATACTCTACATCTACCAGTTCCCCTTTGTCAACTCTGCTTGTTAAATCCTCAAGGAACAAGCAAATTTGTGAAACGTGACTTGCCTTTCACAAAACCATGTTGACTCTGTTTGATTATGTTAAGCTTTTCTCAATGTCCAGCTAGTTCATTCTTAATAATGGACTCTAGCATTTTCCCAATGACAGAAGTTAGGCTAGCTGGCCTATAGTTTCCTGCTTCCTGTCTCCCTCCTTCTTGAACACGGCCATCCAATCTACTGGAATCCACCCGGAATCCAGAGAGATCTGGAATATTTCAACCATTGTCTCCATGATCCCTGCAGTCACATCCTTTAAAAAGTTCGCACGCAGGGCATCAGGAGCTGGTGACTTGTCTGCCTTTAGTCTCATTAGTTTATCAAAGGCCGTCAAAAGATTGATTTAATTGTCTGATGCTGCTTGTTTTGATTCTCCAGGGCTCGGTTTCCAAATGAGATAACATCGGTAATTTGCTGGTCGACATACTTGCTTTGCCCAGTTCATTCAACACTTACACCTCTCTGTGAGGAGTGCTGTGGGTTCATGTCCTCGCCTAGATCATGAGAGTGACAACTTGGCTGATATCCCACCACAGAACCAAGCGGGTGCCACTAGGTTAGAGATGCATTCCTTCGCACGCGACATGCAATTTGATTCTCATCTGCTTCTCCAGATTAACTTTCAGAGATGCCATGTCAATGTTTGAAGACGATTGATAAGTTCTGTTGGTGTTTTGGCCAATATCAAAAGCAGACTACTGTTGTTTCATCCATCAAACGTCTGCCAATGTTTCCAACATTTTCAAACTCACTCCCCTTTTTGCCACATTGTTGTGCTTTTCTCTAATTCCTAGCCAAGGAACATTGGTCAGCAAGCTATCAAGGGAAGAAACCAAGTCCAGCATACCAAGAAATTCCTCTGCATCTCCGTTTTCAATGAAGTCCCCCTTATTCTCTAATGACGTTCCTTAGTTTGAAATTCCCCACAAGTGGAAACACCTTCTAACACCTACTATCTATTTTTGTAAAGAGGTTAGTTTATAATGGTAAAAAAGCTTCTGCTGCTTCTATCAATTACTCTGAGTATGCACTTACAGTACTGTGTACAGGATTACCCTCCTTACCCAAGGATGAAAATACTTACTTTACAAAGGGTGCAACTAACATTCATGAGATTCATTCCTGGGATGACAGAACCATCCTGAGGAGTGATTAACTGAAGGAATGAGGGGTAATCTTATTGAAACACATACAATTTGTAGAATTTCTACCCTGGAGTGAGTGTCTGGAACCTTTGGACCATAGGATTATAGGCTGGCCTTGTAAGACTGGGACGGCAAGAGATTTCTTCATGAGGGCATAGCAAAAGTCATTGTTTAAAAATAAAGGATTGCTCATTTAATAAAGAGACGAGGAAACTATATTTTTCTGTCTGAGAATGGGTGGGGGGGGGGGGGAGCATGGTGTTTAGAATTCCCTTCTTCAAAAGGCAATGGAAGCAGAATCTTTAAATATCTTTAAGGCACAGGTAGATAGATTCTTGATGACCAAGGGGATGAAAGATTATCGGAGGATATACGGGAATGTAGAGTTGAGGTTAAAATCAGATTGCCAATGATCTTGTTGAATGGAGGAGCACGCTCAAAAGGGCCAGGTGGCCTACACTTATTTATTAGTTTTACATAGAAACAGGAGGAGGCCATTCAGTCCATCCATCTTCCCCGCTATTCAACATGATTATGGTTGATCAGAAACTTCAATGCCCTTTACCTGTTCAGTCTTCATAACCGTGAACCCCACTGGTAATCAGAAATCTGTCAATCTCTCCATTAAACATACTGAAAGACTGAGCTTCCACAGCCCTCAACACTGATTTAACACTTCATGACCTGCAATGCCACCATAGGACAGAAGGTGGCAGTAAACACAACAGTGCAGCTGAGCTGCTGGAATCCCTTTGTTGATTCTAAATGTGTTTTGCTTGGGGCTGCCGCTGGGAGATCGCAGGAACACAAACCCGAGGACCTACCAACAGGATGCAGAAAAATTTGCAAAGATTGATCCTGTTGCACTTTTCCTTCTGCTGCTTTTTGTTCTTTTGTCAGTTCTCAGTGCTGTCAACTCACCATTTCAGATCTCAAAACCCAAAGAGCAAACAAACTGTCTGGGTTATGGCCTTTTACCCAGTCTATAAGTAACCAGTGAACATCATGGTATACTAATAGGTAGCTCTCCTCACTGTGACCGAATACTGTTATCTGACCAGAACCTGCAAAACTGACACGACAACTTAAGGAACTAGCTCTGATAATCTTTATTAAAGTAGAAAATTCAGTGTTCAATTGACATTTTCTCATGATAAAAACCTACACCAATCACGATGAACCCAAGCTGAGTTTAAACATCAAAGCCGTTAATCTATCCAAATGCAGAACCACTGCTGCTTCGAGCTGACTGTCCAGCCACTGATTAGTGAGACATTCTACTCCACTCCTGTTGCTGCAGCCCTCATCAAACAGGTCATGGTCACTCCCAGTGTGGACTGGAAAGTAAACTAAGCTGGGAGTGTTTGATGGTGATAATGTTGAAGGAGCTTTACTCTGTATCTAACCCCATGCTGTACCTGTCCTGGGAGTTTTGCTTGGGGATGGTGTAGAGGTAGCTTTACTCTATATTTAACTCCATTCTGTCCCTGTCCTGGGAGTATTTGATGGGGACAGTATCAAGGGAGCTTTATTCTGTATGTAACCCTGCGTTGTACCTGTCCTGAGTGTGTTTGATAGAGACATTGTAGAGGCAGCTTTATTCTGTACGTAACCCTGCGTCGTACCTGTCCTGAGTGTGTTTGATGGAGACATTGTAGAGGCAGCTTTACTCTGTATGTAACCCTGTTCTATACCTGTCCAGGGTGTGTTTGATAGAGAGAGTGTACAGACAGCTTTATTTTCAGATTGGGGGAGCTTTACTTTTGGTTTAAAGAAGTAGAATCAGCTTTACCGTGTATCTAACACTATCCCATCCCTATCCTGGGAGAGTTTTCTTGGGGATCAGTTTAGAGGAAGCTTTAATTTTTGTTTAAAAGAGTTGAGGTAGCTTCACGTTCTACTTACTTTTAGTTTAAAGGAGTAGAGCAAGCTTTACTCTGTATCTACCCCTTGCTGCCTCTGTCCTTGGTTTGAAGGAATGATGTTGTTGGAACTTTACTTTCAATTTAAAAGAGTTGAGAGAGCTTTACTTTCAATTTAAAACAGTAGAAGGAGCTTTACTCTGTATGGAACCTTGTGTTGTACCTGTGCTGGGAGTGTTTGCACAGAGCAAGACCCCATAACAGAATGAAGACACAGATGAAGTAATCTTGTGGCATAGTGGTAGCATCCCTAGCTCTGAGCTTGGAGATCTGGGTTCAAGTGCCCCCCCACCCCCGTTCCAGAGGTGTGTAATAACATTTCTGAACAGGTTGATAAGAAAACAGTTTGTTTAAAAGAAACAGATGGGAAGTTTTGGTGATATTGCCTGAGAGATGAATGACAGCATTTCAAAAAATTCAATGGATTCTTTAAAACCCACTGCAACCATTCGATCATCTAAAAGGAGAGTTGGAGGAGGGTGAAAGCCTCTCTAAAGGGGAGAAATGTATCAGCCCCTTGAGTTCTTTTTTATTCATTTACAGGATGAGGGTATCACTGGCCAGGCCAATATTTATTGCCCTTCCTTAAATGCCCAGAAGGCAGTTTAAGAGTCAACCACAAATTGCTGTGGGTCTGGAGTCATATGTAGGCCAGACCAGGTAAGGATGGCAGTTTCCTTCCCTAAAGGACATTAGAGAACCAGATGGGTTTTTCCCAGCAATCGACAATGGGTTTACGGTCATTATTAGATTCTTAATTACAGATTTTTTAAAATTGAATCCAAATTCCACCATCTGCCATGGTGGGATTTGAACCCAGGTCCCCAGGATCTCTGAATCAACAGGCAAGCAATAATACCACCAGGCCATCACCTCCCCATTATCTCTAATTAAAATTAATGTTGCTCCACAGGCCTTCAAAGCACAGAGCTGAACCCTTTCAGGTTGATTTGCAATTCACTCCTGATCACCATTTATTGATCATCCCTCAAGTGGCTGGATTCACAAAGTGATATAAAAGCACACAGGCAGGTGTAGCAAGGTAAATTGTATGTTGACCTTCAGTGCAAGAGGACTGGCGTTCATATGTAGGAATGTCTTACTGCAATAATGTAGGACCTTGGTGAGACTGCACTGAGAGTAATGTGTGCAGTTTTAGTCTCCCTACCTAACAGAGGATATAATTGCCATTGAGGGGGTACAGCAGAGATTCACTAGGCCATTATGGGGATGGCAGGACTATCCAACAAAGAAGGATTGGTTCGACTGGACTTGTATTCACTAGAGTTTAGAAGCATGAGATGGGATTTGATTGAAATGTGTAAAACTGTAATGGGGCAAGACAGACTAGTTAAAGGGAGTATGTTTCTCCTGGTTGGGAAGTCTCAAACCAAGGGTCAGAGTCTCGGGCAGGCCATTTAGAACCGAGATGAGGAAAGATTTCTTCACTCAAAGGATAGCAAACCTGTGGAATTTTCTACCACAGAGTCTGGGGGGGCCAAATCATTGAATGTGTTCAGGGAAACTGACAAATTTTTAGATAGTAATGGCATCAAAGAGTGTGAGAGAGTGGGAATATGGTATTGGATCAGCTGTGCTCGTGGTGGAGCAGGGTCGAAGGGCAGAATGGACTACTTCTGCTCCTCGTGTCTACGTCTCTAAATGATTGGCCTGCTCATCTCAACTTTGTGTCTTCTCAGGGTGTGATTGTCATTAGCAAATATTGGCCATCCTATAATTAGCCATTGTGAACGTTCCTCCGAAAAATATTCCATTCCAAGTGTTAGGTCCTTTTAGAGGGCAGTTAGGAGATAACCTCACCGGTGTGGGACTGGAGTTACATACAGATCAGAACAAATAAGAATGACAAATAAGATTTCCTTCACTATTCGTGAACAAGTCAATTTGTTCAAAAATTCGACAGCATTGCATTTCATTAGCTCACGTCTGGGTTTATTGTGGAATCTTTTTACTAATTCCACCCTCTAAGTTACAAATTTTCAGAACTGAATTTGAATTGTCATTGTGCAACACTTTCAAAAACTCTGCCTTACAACATAGCCATTACACAATCACATTCTTCTCTAAAACTAAAGAATTAATTTTATTCCTAATGTTGCTGAATGAAGGTTTCTGCTGACGTACCTACACCCCAATGTAACACTGAAGCTTAATAGAGTGTGCCAGGTCTAAACATTGCTCTCTGTGAAAACATATCATTATAAGCAGCGTAGGGAGGGAACCCATTATTGGTCTCACATCAAACTGGATTCAAGGGGGTATCTGAGGTGGGATGCATGAAACCACCAAGATTTCTGCCCATCATCTTGTGACTCCTGACGCCAAGTGCACACGTGCAGACAACAAATGAGGACAGGCCGTGATGCCTTCCATTGCTGAACTGCCAGTCACCATTTATCATTGAGGTTGAAACATGAGAAGCTAACAATGGAAAGTGCATCCCAACGTGAGCCAGCACTTCCCTCAAGTGAAAAAATAAGTTCTCAATCATAGACGAAGCCCACATCACTTATTACAGGATGCTGTGTGCCATCCAACCTTACAAAATAAAACCTTAGCTAGCATGGACTGGATTAATCTAATTGAGCCCACAATACTGTCAAACTGGGATAAGTATCAAAATCCTGCTATTGTAAATTATAAATATTTCTATATATACACAACTGTGAAATACGTGCAAAGTCACTTTGTCAGCAAGGTGCAGAAGGCGTTTGTTTTATTTTTGATTGAAGAGCCTGGAGCTCTTTTCACTAGAAAAGAGAATGTGGAGGCATGAGATGGTAATGCTCTTTAAGGATGTGAAAAGACTTAAAAGGATGGTTGTGCAGGAGATGTTTCCACTTGCAGCTGAGACCAGAACTAAGACCTGTATGTTTAATACACAGACCAATAAATCCATTAAGGAATTCAAGACAAACTTCGTCACCACCGGCTAGGTATGGAATGTGGAACTTGTTAGCACAGGGGGTGGTCAAGGCAACTAGCAGAGATGTATTTAAGGAGATGCGGGATAAATACAGAAGAGAGAGAGCAGTAGAGGGTTGTGCCAAAGGGTGTGAGGTAAAAATGGGTGGGAGGAGGTCTGTGTGTACAAAACACACTAGCATAGACTGATGGGTTGAATGGCCTTTGCAACATGGGGACTCATGGATGGAATTCTAGGAGATGAGCCAGCCATAGATGAGTTAATGCAAAGGGATGAGTTGGCCAGGAGATGAAAGGGTGCAAATCATCTCCAGGAGGTGAGAAGTGCCTCATTGCCTCCAACAGCTGTGATGGGAGAGCTGCTGCAGTTTTGCCAATTGGAGCAGAAAGCTCGTTGGAAGTCTATGGAGTCTTTCCTCAAAGTAAGGTCAGGCCAACAGTCACATCAGCGATTGGTTTTGACACAGGTCTGTTTCCAAGACAACGGTAGTGAGGTTTAATCGAATTTGATGGTGAATCTGACAGCTGAGCACAAGACTGACTGGGGTGGCCAGAAATGAAAAAAAAACTGAAAATGAGACGCAGAAAGAGACCAGTCCCTTTACAGAAACAAGATGGCGGTGCAATAGGCTCCTAAGCTGGAACTCATCTGCTCCGTCTGTTTCCTTTCTTCTTTTCCCTCTTTTCTTTTCTAAAAAATCTTTCTTCTTTCCTTTCTTCGGACAGCTTCGGTGGTGGACAGTTGAGCCAGGGCAGAGTCAAGGGACTCCCGGCCTCGAGGCGAAACCCAGCACGGTCTCTCTGCGTTAGAAGGACTGTAATGCTGAATGTTTACCTTTATTTCTTTATTTTTCTGATTTATATCAAAGATTTTGTACCCAGGTCTTTGTACCTATGATGGCATCAGAAATGTCAACTTTGTAAACTTTTCACGGTGCTCATGTATTCCCTGTACTTGTGTCCACGTGACAATAAATCTAATTTATTCTAACAAGGACTTTAAAAGGCTGTTAATTGGAGGCTTTCCCTGTTCCCTCCTGCCTGACCATCCTTCGCAAATTCAAAACAGCCCCTGAGGAGTTAGGGTTTCAAAATGATCTCTGAAGCCATGATTTTTAAATCTTACCCACACTTAGTCCCAACATCATGAAAACCCTAGCCCGTTTCTGTGTTCAAGGAGCCTAATACCATCTGGGAGCAAGCTGTACACTCAATGGGCACTGCTCCCTAATATTCACTCCCTCCACCTACAGCTGCAACTGTGTGGACCATTGACAAGATACACTGCATTGACTCACCAAGATTCCTTTGACAGCACCTTCCAAACTGCTAAACTCCACCACCCAGGAGAACAAAGGCGGCAGATACATCATCAACTAAAGCTCCTGGTCCAAACTACACATCAGCTTGACTTGGAATCGTATTGGTGTTTCCTTCAGTGTTGCTAGGTCAAAATCCTGGAACTTCCTCCTTCATGGTATTGTGGGTCTACCTACACCAAACAAACTGCAGTGGTTCAAGAAGGCAGCTCCCCACCACCTACAGCAATGTGATTGACTCTGAACTGCCCTCTGGGCAATTAGGGTTGGACAATAAATGCTGCCTAGCCAGCGACGTCGTCCTCCCGTTAACGAATAAAGAAAAACAAAACCACTGAGGTGACCAGCCATGACCTTATCGAATGACAGAGCAGGTTTGAGGGGCTTAATTGCACACTTCTGTTTCTAGTTATATTACGTTCTTAAGGCAACTAAAGTAGGGCAATATGTCAACGACTCGCACATTCCATAAACAAATCAAAGGAAACTAAAGTTACACATGATTACAACCAGGAAGCATTAAGTTGGCAGTGAGAGTGAAGGAGGAGGATCATCACTTCGTTCTCAGGGGGTCTTGTCACAGTCACACACACCCATTAACCGAAACAATGATAATGTAATGATTCATGATGTTATTTCAGACAAGGCGACCCACATGCATACTTAACACGCTTCCCAGAAAGCATCCAGTTTCCACTCCACCGATAAAGAATTAGAAAGAGACTGTACCTTATCAAACATCTCGAAGAGTTTAGCGCTGGGTTGATGGATGGTGCAGATGATGGTCCTCCCACCTTGAGCAAGTGACTTCATCAGCGATACCACCTGGAAACAGGAAGCGCTATCTAACCCACTAAGGTCAAAGGAGAGAGAGAGAGAGACACACACAGAGATATATCAGAAATACAGTTACATTGATTTGGTACCATGGTAAAGGCAAACGGCTATTTCTTTGCCTAGTGCCCTCACTGCACAGCCCTTAGTCAAGGCCTGTCACTGAGCGTCCACTCACGAGTTGCCTGATGAAGGTGCTATTCCTCACTATTCCCTTTGCCTTGCTTGCTCCCAGGTGGGACTTCCATTCCTCTTTTGGTCAGTCAGCTTCGGTTTGCCATCTCCCCCCATCCCACAAATCACTCTGCAGTCTCTGATTCACCTCCTCCATACTGCCCATCCCTAACTGTCCTTGAGAAGGTGGTGGTGAGCTGCCTTCTTGGAACCACAGCAGTCCATGGGGACACCCACTGTGCCCTCAGGGAGGGAATTCCAGAATTTTAACCCAGTGACAGCGAAGGAACAGCTATACATTTCCAAGTCAGGATGATGAGTGGCTTGGAAAGGGCCTTGCAGGTGTTCCTATGTATCTGCTATCCTTGTCCTTCCAGGTGGTAGAGGTTGCCATTTTGGACAATGACGTCTAAGGGACTTTGGGAAGTTGGTCGATTTATCTGGGAGCTGGAGAAAATCCATGGTGCTGGGGATGGGGCATTAGGATTGGTCGGGCCTCCATACACTCAGACCCAGCCTTGACGCACCATCCCTCCCTGGGTGTGCCCCTCACTTCAGGGCCTGTGTGGATCTTGCCTCTGTCCCAACTCCTCAAACCATCATCCCTCAACAACAAAGCATGAAATCAGAATTGCTTCTGAGTTGGTGTAAATATTTATCAATGCTGCCTCTCTCCTCTCACCCCATAGGCATGCTGGTTTTCCTTTTCAATTGGTAGGAGAACTATCCTGATGAAAAGGTGTCTTCTTTTTCCTCCAGCAACGCTCAAGATCTGTCTAACCAATTGACTTATTTACAAAAATCTGGTGTTTGTAATGGGATCAGGGTCACACAATTCCTGGAGCATCAACCTGCAGCAATCTGCAGATTGCCACTTTTGTTATTTTTTTTGTTTCTCACGCAATCCAGGTACAGGTTGGTGGACTCTCGAATGGGAAATTAACTCAATGTTCCTCGTGTAATCGTTCTTCAAAAGCCCGTCTTTTCATTTTGACCATGGTTTTGATCGTTCTGCTTGTATTAATTTTTGTCCTGTCTCCCCCTTGGGCATTTTCCCTTTGTAAAGCTCTCCTGAGATTCTCCTCCGTTTGAGCTGAGCAGCACGATGATTGTTCTTGTTGTTATCCAAAGCGTTTTCGTTGAAAATTGCCAGAGAAACGAAAAAGTGGAAAGAGACAGATAGGCCAGCAGGGATAAACGCTGATGACTCATTCACAATTTTGTTCTGGGACTGAGTCTTCCACACTGTGCCTAACACAGGACAGTGATGTGGGAAACACCTCCAGTACAACATTCCTTGTATCCTTGCTAGAATCTCTCTGCGATCTCATCCCCTTCTGCACTCTGAAAATCCTCAGACAGTACAACAATCTGGGATAACTCCACTTCCGGTTTTTTGTACGTCCTCGTTTGATTGATGGGCTACCCTGACATTGACAAGCCCTTAAGTTCTGTAATTTGCTGCCTAAGCCTCTATTCTCCTTTAAGACACTCCTTGAAACCTACTTCTTTGAGTAGGCCTTTGGTGTCAGCCACCCTAAAGTATCCTTCAGAGGCTCGACATCAAATTTCGTTGATAAGCCATCTCAGGAGATTTCGCAGTGTTAAAGGCGCTATAACAATGCACATTGTTGCTAACTGGTTTGGAATGCCTGTGACAAACCAACACTGCTGCTCTGTGACACTGTGCTACTACCCCAATAGGAACAGTCAATATCATCTCCTGTACCACTGCCCACTACAAGTGGCTGCACGATAAATCAAATGGCACGGGGAATACTTTCAGATGTGGTGCTGTGCGCCATCAGATGCATGATTGACACTTCCTCGACCTGACAGCTTCCAGGGGTAATGTAGGGAGAAACATGGAACACACAACGAGCTGTAAACAAACAGTGAAATCCCAAAGCAGTTCAAAAATGGGCAGGTTAGGTGGATTGGCATTGGGAAACGTGGCATTGCAGGGATGGGGTGGGGGTGATGGTTCTGGCTGGGATGCTCTTCGGAAGATTGGTGTGGATTCAACGGGTCGAAGGGCACACTGTAGGGATTTAATGATTCTATAAAATGACTGGCTCAGGTAGCCCATCCCTAAGTAAGGTCATTGGGATAGAGATAAAAACAAACTGTAGAGGCTGGAATCCAAAGCAGACAAACAGGAGGCTGGAAGAACACAGCAAGCCAGATAGCATTTGGAGGAAAGGAGCAATCAGCGTTTCGGGTATTACCCTTCTTCAGGATGCATGCTCCTTCTTACCTGGTCGGCTCGTCAAAGAACATGATGGGGGGATTGTTGACAAGCTCCAGGGCAATGGCCAATCGCTTGCGCTGTCCACCAGACAGAGAGAGAGTCCGCGTGTCCGAGCAGTCGAGGAGACCCAGTGCTGTCAGGATTTCAGTTACCTTGAAACAGGGTGCAAAATGTTACAGGCAGGCAGCAATGGTGACAGGATCATACAAAACAGGCCATTCAGCCCATCAGAACCGTGCTAATTAGCCCCACTCCTAATAAATATCATGTTCTTTCTCCTGAGCCTCACTGACTCATATGACAGACTTATTGCCACTTTTTTTGTAAGCTCACTGTAAACAACTCCAAGCTCATTCTTCTCCTGCTATTGCATTAACAATTAAAAGATTGCAAGCGGGCATAAGACTGAGAGCATACCCATTGCCCATCTTGTGTAACGGGTGAGAACTTTGGGGCTGTCCTGAGCTGTGCACAGAATTCCTCAACATAGTCAAACCTGTTTTGTTGATACACAATTCGAGCCTTTGCCTGGGTGTGAACTGCATCTTAGAATCTCCCAATCCGACATTAGAACAGACACCTCCCAATACGGTCAGTAAAGGTTGCCTGGCTCCATGGAAAATTGGGAGATTTCCTAATTATCCTTCTTAGTGATTCTGTAAGTGCTATGTTATTGATGTTGCACTTTCTTCTGTAAGTACACCAAAGCTTTTGCTGTTAAAATTCGTATTCAAACCCCTCCGAGAACTGACCTCTCCTAATCTCTGTAAACTCCTCCAGTAAACTCAGATGCCCCTCCGAGATCTCCAACTCTCGCGCACCCTCTATCCATCATTCACTGTTGCCAGGCGTGCATTCGCTGCCTACGCCCTTAGCTCTGAAACTCCCTTCCAAAATTCCACCACCACTTTCTCTTGTATTCAAACTACCGCTCAAAACTACCACTTCGACCGAGCTTTTGTTCACCAGCCCTCGTGCCACACAAGAACCAGGAGCAGGAATAGGCCAGCTGGCCCATCGAGCCTGCTCCGCCATTCAATAAGATCATGGCTGATTTTTCATGGACTCGGCTCCACTTACCCACCCTCTCACTATAACCCTTCATTCCTTTACTGTTCAAAAATCTATCTATCTTTGCCTTAAAAACATTGAATGAGGTAGCCTCAATGCTTCACTGGGCAGGTACTTCCACAGATTCACAACCCTTTGGGTGAAGAAGTTTCTCTTTAACTCAGTCCTAAATCTACTCACCCTTATTTTGAGGCTACACCCCCTAGTTCTAGTTTCCACCCGTAAGTGGAAACAACCTCTCTGCTTCTGTCTTATCTCTTCCTTTCATAATTTTATATATTCTCTAAGATTCCCTCCCTCATTCTTCTAAATTCCAATGAGTATAGCCACCTTTTTTTTGTAACACTGATTTCATTCCTTCTACTTCACAATGTTCCTAGAAAGTCCTTTGGGACATCCTATTATGTTAAAGGTATTATAAGGATGTATTTTTTTCTGAGAATGTTGTTTTGTATTTTCGTAGCAATGAAAACCAGATCTTCATGTTGACAATAGTTCTCTCAGTCACCAGAGTCAAGGGGCAATACAAAGTGCAGGAGAAAAGTGAAAAGGAATTGGTTTGAAATTCCTCTTTTGAGGTCTCCAGTCAACGTAAATGTAGCTGAAATATTATGCCAACATAATAAAGGAGGTACCACCAATTAGGAGCTGCAGCACAAAGCTTCCATGAGTTGGAACGTGTTATCAGGAATTGCGGCCAATGTAATATTCCCTTTTGCAGGGTGAACCCAGTTTAGAACTGCAGAGCACAGGAAGAGGCCATTCATCCTATCAAACCTGTGTTAGAGCTATCCAACGGATTACACTTCTCTGGTATTTAACCTGATTATCTTTTGGAAATTATTAATAAATCAGACTGCATCTTCTTGTGATGCCATGCGGTTCAGCTCAAAAATTACTGCATAAAGAGAGTCTCATTTTACCCTTTTATCCTAAAAGAAAGTTGTACTTCCACACTTTATTTCTGTGGCCACTGTAAAATACTATTAGCATAATATATTGATGTATTAAAACAGTCTAATTAATTGGAATTTGTAACTAACACACTTCTGATGATTGCTCGTCACAAATCACACGACACCAGGTTGTAGTCCAACAGGTTTATTTGAAATCACAAGTTTTCGAAACGCTGCTCCTTCATCAGATGAAGTCGGCAGTGCTCTGAAAGCTTGTGATTTCAAATAAACCTCCTGGACTTAAAATCTGGTGTCGTGTGACTTCTGACTTTGTCCATCCCAGTCCAACACCGGCACCTCCACATCCTGGTTATTGCTGATTATAGAAGTGTGCATGTATGTTACAACATTCAGACGATTTCTGAAACTTAAAGCCTGTTTTGTTTAACAGTTTATTAATGTAACCCAACACACAGGTTCATTAAAATGGTATCATTAATTGGTGTTTGTCACTGTATTTCTCAGAAATGTCGCTCCTTGGTAAGCTCAGCTGGATTTTATTTTAAATGGGTGCCCCCTGGGGACCCACCTTCTTGCCAGCGGAAATGGTTCCTCGTTATTTATCTTCTCCCTGGATGGTTGGTTTGGTATACAGAGTGATGCCAACAGCAGGGGTTAAATTTCCTATACCAACTCAGTTCACCACAAAGGTCCCACCTTCTCAACCTCTCCCCTCGCCTGAGGTGTGGTGACCCTCAGAATATAGCACTACCAGTCATCTCCCTCTAATGAGAGAGCAGCCCCTACAGTCCTCTGGAATTCCGACCACTATATCAGTATGGCAACTCCTACTGCTCCATCCAGGATTTTGAACACCTCTGTACAATCTCCCTTTCACCCCTCTTTTCTCAGGAGGGAAAAACCCTTGTCACTTGACGTGACTGAACTCCCACATCCCTGCTCCAAGTCTGGTCTAAGATCTTAACAACCTCCATAAAAAGACAGGAACTGAATGCAATGCTGCAGTGAGGTTTTGATGCGTGCTTACACCGCAGTGAGCTCTCTCACAGGAGCACTAATTAATAAAAGAAATTGTTATCCAACACATTACCAACTGTTTCAGGGACTCAGAATAGGACTGGAAATTTGCTGCAGCATTATGAGACCGAAAAAACTCAGGCTGGAAGCTGCACTGACATTCAGCAGGTCTATTTTGGTGCAAATACATTTGCATATTTCTTGAATTCAATTTTTCAATCCACTATTCAGAGACGTGTGCAAATAGCTCCACCACTGGTGTGATCAAACTAAACTGTGGCCAAGTTCACTTCAAATTAAATTACTAAAAGGGGTTGATGACTCACCAGCTCCTTTTTAACTTCTAATCTCTCCTTCAGCTTGAGGTGGACCGATACCTGTAAAAAAAAAATTATTAAATAGAAAAGGATGTGATTGCACTGGAAGGGGTTGCAGAAGAGATTCACCAGAATATTGCTTGAGATGGAGCATTTCAGTGATGAAGAGAGGCTGGATAAGCTCAGGTTATACAGTCATAGTACAGTACAGCACGGAAGCAGACCCTTCAGTTTAACTTGTCCATGCTGACCTGATTTCTAAATTAATCTAGTCTCATTTGCCAGCATTTGGCCCATATCCCTCTAAACCCTTCCTATTCATGTCTCAATCCAAATGCCTTTCAAATGTAATTGTCCCAGCCTCCACCACTTCCTCTGGCAGCTCATTCCATACGTGCCCCACCCTCTGCATGAAAAAGTTGCCCCTGAGGTCCCTTTTAAATCTTTCCCATCTCACCTTAAACCTATGCCCTCTAGTTTTGGACTCCCCTACCTTGGGAAAAAGATCTCGGCTATTCACCCTAACCATGCCCCACATGATTTTAAAAACATGTTTAAGATCAACCCTCAGCCTCTGATGCTCCAGGGAAAATAGCCCCAGCTTACTCAGCCTCTCCCTACAGCTCAAACCCTCTAACAGTGGTAACATCCTTGTAAATCTTTTCTAAACCCTTTCAAGTTTCGTAACATCCTTCCTACAGCTGGTTGTTTTATTTGAAGCAGATAAGGCCGAGGGGGACCTGATAGGAGGTGTTTAATATGAGCGGCATGGACGGGATGGATAGAAAATAACTTTTTTCCTGAGTCAAAGGGTCAATAACAAGGAGACAACTTAGGTGAAAGGCAGGTTTAGAGAGAACTTAAGGAAAAACTTTTTCTTTCAGAGGATGGCGGGGATCTGGAGCAAACTGCATGGGAGAGTAGTGTATGCAGGTAACCTCACAACCTTTCAAAAGCACTCGAGAAATGTCGTAACATTCAAGGCTAAAGTGGGATAGTGTAGATTTAATAGTAATGACCTGATAGGTCAAAGGGTGCCAGAAGTTTGCATATTAGAGTGGAAATCAGATTATTTGCTTTATTCTTTAAATTTGAATCAAACCCAAATTATCCGAGCATTTAAAGCCCTTTGCTGATATGTATAGCAGAGCATATTAGGAAAATCATTTCAATTGTAGCAATTATATTCTGAGAGAGAACAAACACCACACAGAGGTAAGGGCAACGACTTTCTTTCTCTGCTGTTTTAAGATGTAACCAGAATTCCTTTAATTCAATTGCGGCTTCATCAAATACAATTATTCAATGGTTAATTATTTCTACCATTGCTTCTTTCATCAATAATCTATGTTCTCTCACATCAGAACACTTGGGTTTTCCTAAACTGGCATTTCCAAAGCACCTTATAATGTTAATTGATTTCCTTCAGTTTGAGAAGGCGTCGGAATCCAGCACAGCAACAGCTGAGACGTGATAGTGGCTTGAAAAGATGTAATGAAGAAGGCTGTTTCAGAGATAGCAGGAATTGCAGATGCTGCAGAATCTGAGATAATGAGGTGCAGAGCTCGATGAACACAGCAGGCCAAGCAGCATCAGAGGAGCAGGATTTTCTGAAGAAGGTTCTAGGCCCGAAACGTCAGCCTTCCTGCTCCTCTGATGCTGCTTGGCCTGCTGTGTTCATCCAGCTCTGCACCTTGTTATCTCTAATGAAGAAGGCTAATGGGTTTGCTGTCCTTCGTTAGGAGAGGAATTAAACATAAAAGTAAAGCTTCAATTACACAGGGCATTGGTGAGACCACATCTTCAATACCGTGTGAAGTTTTGCTCTGCTTATTTAAGGAGGGATGAGAATGTGTAGAGGGGGTTTACTAGACTGATACCTGGAATGAGTGGGCTGTCCTATGAGGAAAGGTTGGACAAGCTGAGCTTGCTTCATTGGGATTTTGAAGAGTGAGGGGTGCCTTGAGTGAAATGTATCAAATCCTGAATGGGCTTGACAAGGTCAATGCAAAAAGGATGTTTCCTCTTGTGGGTCAGTCCAGAACTAAGGGTCACTGTTCGAAAGATAGAGGTCACCTTGAAGTGAATTGAATTAGCTTTATCGGTGGGGTAGGGGTGGAGGTTAGATAGACCTTAGGATTAGAGTAAAAGTTCGGCACAACATCATGGGCCAAAGGGCCTGTACTGTGCTGTACTGTTCTATGTTCTCTATGTTCTATTGTCATGTATACTCAAATAAGTACAGCGAAAAGTTTATAAATTGCCACCTGCAGCACCATGTGTAGGTACAAAGGTAACTCAGTACAATCTTTAGTTACAGGACAGAGAAAAATAGAAAAAAATGTACATTACAGCTATACACATTACAGCCAGAGATCAGAAAACAAGAAGCAAAGTTAAAGAGACAAACATCAGTCTCTCTTCAAAGGCTCTCTGCAGCAAACCAGTGCAGGGGGGGTTCCACACGATCTGACTGCAGGCTGCTGTCACAGTCTGCACTGGGACACTAGCTACCCCGCTCCAGGCACTGGCTTCCTCCGCCGAGCCCACTTTGGAGGCCGGGGCCGGGCGTACAAGGCCGGGAGAAGGGAGGAGAGAGGGAGAAAAGAAAAAGAACAAAGAGAACGAGCAGGGCAGGGGAGCTCCAGTTGGAGCGTCCTACTGTACTGTCATCTGGCCTTTCCAGGGCAAAAACGAAGGGAATTTTTTTTTTCTGTCTCAGAGGATTGTCCAACTTTGGAACTTTCTGCCTCAGAATGTGGCAGAAACAGGGCCCTGCAATATTTTTAAGTAGGACTCGTCTAAAAGAGTTTCAGGTAACGTGAGTTCAAAACACCCAACATTTCAGCCACGCTCTTAATGATCAATGGAGCAGGCTCAAAGGGCTAAATAGTTTACTTTGCGAACTGTGTTTGTATCACTTTGGATCTATGATTCCCAAAGCTCTTCACCATTTTACTTTGGGAGAGCCAGGCATCTTCCGTGTGTGGTGTGTGCTTGAGTCTTTAGCAAACTGACTGATGGAGATTGATGTCTTTGATTCATCTTTGATTCAGAGGAGATTTACCAGGATGTTGCCTGGAATGGAGGGAAGGTCTTACGAGGAAAGGTTCAGAGAGCTAAGGCTCTTCTCTTTAGAATGATGAAGGATGGAAGGTGACTTGATAGAGGTGTACAAAATGATCTGAGGTATAGATACAGTGGACAGCCAGAGACTTTTTCCCAGGGTGGAGGTAGCTATTACGAGGGGGCATAGTTTTAAAGTGAGTGGAGGTAGATATAGAGGAGATGTCAGAGATAGGTTCTTTATTCAGAGAGTGGTCAGGGGCGTGGAATGCATTGCCGGAGAGGGTAGTGGAGACGGCCTCATTAGGGGCATTTAAGCGGCTATTAGCTAGGCATATGGATGATAGTATAAGGTAGGGGTGGAGGTTAGATAAACCTTAGGTTTAGGGTAAAAGTTCGGCACAACATCGTGGGCCGAAGGGCCTGTACTGTGCTGTACTGTTCTACGTCCTATCCATTACTGCACTATCATTGTAGCAGGATCGTAGAAGGTCAAGTTTGGTTTTTGTTGTCTAACAATCCCTGTGCTGATATGAGTTACTTCTCAAATGCAAAGACTTCAGCGATGTAGTTACCCACAGCAGCCATTCTGCTTAAGGAGCAAAATTAAAAGCAACAAATAATCATGTGTTTTTGGGAGTTGGTTGAAGAAAGAATGTTGACCAAGGTGGACGGAGACTCCATGCAGCGAAATATGTCCTTCAACCTCCCCCAGGGCGAGCAGACTGGACCCAGGTTTTGAGAGTACAGCACCAACTTCCAAACAGGACCAGCGTTAGCTAAGATAATGCACCAAAGCCCATCGTTTTCAGCCTCAAAAAGGAGGCAGGTCAGATAAAGCAAGTTGACACGCGTGCAAAGATACAGGTTATATGTAGGACATTTGGTTGACCTCGCAATGGAACATGAATCAAGATGTGCCCCAGTTGCTCTTGAACTATTCAACTTTAAGTGCTCGAGGCCAGATCTGGAGTGCGAGAGGATCTGGAGCTCGGGTTTCAACTGGCTTTGTATTTTTTTTCCCCACCCAGCAGCTCTTTGCTGGAGGATTTTACTCGTGTCCCTTTGTGTTCTGCTCAGACTATGCATTCTTTCCCTTTTTGTCTTTGAAAAATTTGTTAAAGCAGGGGTTTCATTTCAACACACTACTGCTTGTTCTGGCTGAACTTCAAAACTAATTAATCCTGTGAAACTGGCAAACAACAGTGCAAGGAAACAAAACCAGCAGGTGGGTTTGCAAGTGGGGGAAGCTGCATACTTACACGCTGATCTCTTTCACAAACAATTCCACAGACATTCATTCCCTCCACCAACATGTTCAGTAGCAGTTGCATGTGCCATCTACAAGATGCACTGCAGAAATTCACCAAGGCTCCACAGACAGCACCTTCCAAACCCATGACCATTTCCATCTAGAAGGACAAGGGCAGCAGATACATGGGAACACCAGCCCCTGCAAATTCCCCTCCAAGGCATTCATCACCTTGACTTGGAAACTTATCACCATTCCTTCACGGTCACTGGATCAAAATCCTGCATTCTTTCCCTACTGGCATTGTGGATTTACCTACACCAAACAGACAGCAGTGGTTCAAGAAGGCAGCTCACCCTCACCTTCTCCAGGGCAATTAGGGATGTGTAATGAATGCTGGCCCAGCCGGCGATGCACAGGTCCTACAAGTGTAAGGACATCAACAGCATAGCGGAGAACTACCATCCAGCCATAGTTTTAACTGTTACCCAGTGAACTGTTTTGCAATACTATTCCTCAGATCAGCCAAACAAGGATCGCACAATGAAGCAGTCAATATCACAACTGCTTCAACATTTCATCGGCCACTCAAAACCTCACGTTCCAACCACAAACCATGGAGATATTGTTTGGCAAAATGGGTTAGATGCTTGCCTTTCAAACCCTAAGGTCTGGGTTCAAATCCCATTCCGAAGGTACCACATAGGTCGTTGTGCTGGCTTCAAGTACCCGGGCAAAACAAGTCGAACAAATCTGGGTACAAGTTTACAGGACAAAACTGTCTCCATTTACATACCAGTACACAAGAAAATCCAGTGACTGCTGCCAATGTGAAATAACACTCCTTTATGAGGTGTGTAGCAGAGAGCCTGTTATCACCAGTTTCCTACTGATGCTGAAGATAAAAATGGCACTGAATGGACCTCCCAGCATTAACAAAGTCCAGCTTTATGGCAGAGCAGAAGAAGTGTGACTTTGCAAACAAGTCAATTTTTGCTAGTTCTGACCCAGGCTGCTGATCTTTTCTGCTGAGATAGGAAGATATAGTGTTCAGGGGTGTGTAGGTTAGGTGGGTTATCGGGGGATGGGTCTGGGTGGGATGCTCTGAGGGTCGGTGTGGACTTGTTGGGCCGAAGGGCCTGTTTCCACGCTGTAGGGATTATGTGATCTATGATCTATAAATTATAGGAGCAGGAGTAGACCATTCGGTCCATCAAGTGCACTTCACCATTCAACGAGGTCATAGCTGATTTAATACTCCACAACTCCACTTTCCTGTGTTATCCCCATAACTCTTGGGTTTTTTTTAGTGATTATTTAACTTCATTGTGCAAACAAAAGCGAGCTCTGCGAACAGGGGAACAAAGTATAGGAGGGGAAAACATTCAAATGAGAATTAAGTCGGGAGTAATTTGGCAGGTCAGGCAGGGGTCTGACTGGATCAAGTGTACCTCAAAATGTTAACTCTCTGCTTTCTCTCTCTACTGATGCTGCCAGATCTGCTGAGTTTCTCCAGCACTTCCTGCTTTTGTTTCACACTTCCAGCATCCACAGTTCTTTGTTTTATTTCAGGTGCAGCATTTGTTCTACACCTGGTTCAATATTGCTTTCATATTACTTTAACAGAGAATAAGCTCGGATACAGTGTAAAACCAACTTTACTCCTGCTCGTGAGTATTCATAAGTGAGTTAAATTAAAATTGTTCCTATTGGTAATTCCCAATGGGGTAGGTCCTCTCTCCAGGCAGAGATCACTCCTCTGCCAATGTATCAAATTTAAACTTCTCATGCTGGGGTTCAAATCCCTTGCTGACACATGCCTCACTAGCCCTGCACATTTCCACAGACTCACTACCTTCCAAGAGCTCCGAATTATCTTGTCAAATTCATTCATTCCACTATCAGTGGCCAGGCCTTCAGCAATCCAGATCCAAAACTCTGGAATTCCCTCTCTAAACCTCTCCACCTCGCCCCTTTTTATGGTGCTCCTTAAAACCTATAAATTCATCAAAGCTTTCGGTCACCCATCCGACTGTTGCCTTCCCTCGGCCCAGCATCAATTCTTTTGTCTGCTTTGTTTCTGTCAAGCGTTCTGGTACAATAACAATGCCACATAAACGCAAGTTGCTGTTGTTGTGGGTCAAAAGGGAAGTGGTGTGTCTTAGGTGAACACATACCATCATGGCTTCCAGTACAGTGAGGTGTGGGAGAAGCATGTCATCTTGCATGATGTAACAGGACATCTTCCTGAAAGTTCGCAGATCCCGAGGCTGCCCATTCACCAGGATCTGGCCTTTCATTCCGGTTTTCCTAGAAGTAACAGAAAAGGAAATTTTTTAAAATGGTAATTCTCATTAATACTTACAGAACAGAAACAGGCCATTCATCCCAACGGTTCCATGCTGGCATTTATGCCCCTCACCAGCTTCCTCCCACTGTTCTTCATGTAAAGCCACCAATACCTCTTTCTCTTCTCTTTCTTGTGTTAATTGTATTTTTACTTCAGAACATTTACACTATTCATCTCAACTACTTTTTATTATAGGAGGTTTTGCATTCTGACCATTCGCTCTGTAAAGAGAAGTGTTTTTTTTCCCTGAATTCATGATTGGATTTATTTGTGACTAACTTGTTCTGTTGGTTGCTAGATCTGAGGCTGAGTGTTTGCAGAGTCAGACTGACTCCAGGGGCCTTTAATAATAGCAGGTGGGACCCAGCCGCAGAATTCCTGTCCTCATGTCTGGAATTTCAGGAGGGGGATGCGGTTGGTTGTGGATCACACAGAACTCAGCAGTGCCATTTCAAACAGGACTTATTTTCACTGCCCCTTAACCTGTAGTTGAAATAGATGGAGAAGAGCAAATGCACTTGAAAAGTGGACAAAGTCTATGAAGCTATTAAAATCTCCAGCTCTTTAAACATGAAAAGAAAACTTCATCTGCCAGTGAGAGTAAAAATAGAACACAGATGTTGCAGGAAATCAATAATTGATAGGCCATCTGGTGTAGCCTTGGAAAAATGAATTACCATTTGTTCCCATGGTTTTCAAAAACTTCAATGCAGACATTTGTCAAGGTTTGCTATTACAGCTGAGTCCATTATGATGATTGATGGAGTTCTAAAACACCTACACCAGCAAAGTGGCTGTCAATCAAAATGTGAATGCAATCAATAGAGACTATTCAATGATTAGTCGTCTTTCATATTATAGTGACTTGAACGAGGTTGGCCACATGGGTCTTGCTGAGTATGAGATTCCTGATTGGGCTAATCAGAGAGTCCTGGCTAACAAATATAAACAGGAGTCTCAGAGAGTCTCCTCTCTCTAGGGACTGGCTCAGAGCTAACTGCGTACATGTAAATAAAGGGATACTGGCCTCCATAGAGTTATTTCACATATATTTACTGAATATAAGTTTATTTGTTTTAATAATAGGTTGATGATGGGGGGAGTTTAAAGTCTTTGAATAGGTTACATAAGACTCTTCCTGCTTTGGAGCTCTCTTAGACTGCTAGAAGCCTTTTTTTTCCCAATGTCTACATGGTTCCTGGGGAACACACCTAATGGATTCAAGATGAGTGGCTGTGGAGGTGGTATAAGGGACATTGAAGTCACATGGGAGCATGAGATGGCATGAAATAGTAAGGGGGTGACATGGGGCGGTGAGGAATTGTGAACTTAACAGCTCTTTTTTAAAACTGCACTGAAGTTTCAGAGAGCCAGGGAAGGTCTCCTAGCATGCACAGTAGTGATCACTGATTGCTGTTCCCAAGTTAAGACGTATTAAGAATCAGAGAATCCCTACAGTGCAGATTCAGTCTACACTGCTCCACCCCTTCTACCTACCCTAGACCCACATGAGGTTATTACCCCACAACTAACTCACCTAACCTGTACACCTTTGGACTGAGAGGGGAAACCAGGGCACCTGGCAGAAACCCACACAGACAAGGGGAGAACACACAAACTCCACACAACTGGTCACCCAAGGCTGGAATTGAACCCGGATCCCTGATACTGTGAAGCAGCAGTCCTAACCATTGTACCACTGTGCCACCCCAATTCTATGGCTCTATCTTGGATCTACCTGAGATTTTAAAGACATCAAGAAATTTGTGGAGAAAGCGGGAATACGACATAATCATACTGAATGGCGGAGCAGGCTCAAAGTGCCAAAATGATTTACTCCTGCCTCAAGTTTCTGTGTTTATCTTGCCTCTGGGATCCGATATGGGCTGCCAATAGCGTTGGGTAGCAGGACACAGCCTTCCTCCACTGTAATCCAATACATTGGTATAGCTTTAGCTGTACTGTAAGTGAAATTCGAAATAACTTATAGTTTGGATTCGAACAAGAACTCTATGATCATTAGTAATGGGACCATTCACGATCTACATGACAGCAATAAAGTTTTCCGTTTTCCCTTAGTTCAAAGAGATTATCAGTGCAAGGATCAATTGTAATGATAATCTATCACTTTTGTGACTCACCGATATCCTGCCAGAATGTTCATGAAGGTTGACTTTCCAGCGCCTGAAGGACCCATAATCCCAATTAGCTCTCGACTGCAGAACTTTCCGGATAGACATTTTAACAGAGTCTTGTATCCTAGGAGGCAAAGTTGAATATGTGTGACAAGAGCTTGGCATTTACTGGAATGGATAGCATGTTAGCATTTCAGTCCTCCACCTCTAGGATGCTTATTTGAATTCAGACTTGAGAAGAGTTATACGGTCCTATATAACAACAACAGGTGACCAAGCTCATTCTGGATGCTAGTCACTACGCCCCTATAACACAACACTGCCATTAATTTGTCATTAGATTGTCAATAACATTCCAGTAGTGCATACTGTGGAAAACAGAAAAGTCAGACTGGTGAAATGGGTAATGTTTTTTTTCCTCAGGTTGAGGGTAAAGCACATCATTGATGCAGAGTAGAATAGCCATTATTATGTGTGAGAGTGTATTTGTGAACAGCAGTGGGTAGCCTTTTTATTTTTGAGTCAGAAGGTTTTGGATTTACTGCCTCTGCTCCCCCATACTCATGAACAAAATTTAGACCAGCACCCTAGTGTAGTTCCAAGAGAGTGCAGCACTTTTGGAGATGCTATATTTTGGATGTGACATTAAACAGAGGCTTGGTCTGCTCTCTTGCGAGAGTGAGAAAGCTACAATGAATTGACAATTTATTCTGGCCTTACCAACAATGCCCACAGCCCATGAACAAATGGAACAAAAAACTTTTTCAAAGAACAACTGAGAGGTTTGCCACATTAGTGTGGCCAATATCTATCCCTCAACTAAACTCAAAACACTGCAGATGCAGGAAATCTGAACTAAGAGCTGGGGAAATTCAGCAGGCTTTGCAGCATCTCTGGAGAGACAAAGTTAACGTTTTCAGTCCGATATGAGAACCCCCTCCTTCTGAGTGACATTCACAGCAAAAGTCTCCTGATGTTTTGATTTATCTCTCAATCATCATCGGTAAAATGCATATAATTTTACTCTTTGTGGCACCTTGCTGTGCACAATTTGATTCACATTCCCTACACTGCAACAGTGATCACTTTTCAGACATACTTAATGGTCTATAAAGTGCTCAGTGGCATTAAGGTTTTGAAAGGTCGGCTTTTCTTTTCCTTTATCAATATTTCACTGCACTCTACTGCCTTGGCATTTTTAAAATTTAAATTTCTTCAAACAAGCTTTGGCCAAGAATTCAGTCCAGATGAAGGATGTGCTGACTTTAGTTTACTCATCCGAATGTAGAGGCAAAAGGGTTTTTAGTTTAGAAATGCATCATTGTGTTGGCACAGGCCTGATGGGCCGAATGGACTTGTTCCTGTTCCGTAGTGTTCTTTGTCCAGTGCTTCCTGTTTGAGCATGTAAGATGGGTTCATAACTGAAGTAGCTTCACTCACAGTTCCTGTGCTTTGACCCATTAACCAACCACAGTGCAAAGAAACACTTCCTCCTGGAATCTCCCTAATTTTCCCCTTCACAACTTGAAGCTCTGACCCCTGTGGTAATCATATTGCATATACAGAAGAGCATTATTTGTTTTTAAAGACATTTCAATACTCCCCACTTGCCTGGATGAGTGTAGCTCCAACAACACTCAAGAAGCTTGACACCATCCAGGACAAAGCAGCCCACTTGACTGGCACTACATCCACAAACATTCACTCCCTCCACCACTGACGCTCAGTAGCAGCAGTGTGCACTATCTACAAGATGCCTGAAGAAATTCACTAAAGGTCCTCAGAAAGCATCTCCCAAACCCACAACCACTTTCATCCAGAAGGACAGCAGATATATGGGAACACCACCACCTTCAAGTTCCCCTCCAAGTCACTCACCATCCTGACATGGAAATATATCGCCGTTCCTTCACTGTCGCTGGGTCAAAATCCCGGAATTCCCTCCCTAATAGCATTGTGGGTCAACCCACAGCAGGAGGAATGCAGCGGTTCAAAAATGCAGCTCACCACCACCTTCTCAAGGGCAACTAGGGATGGGCAAGAAATGCTGGCCAGCCAGCGACACCCACATCCCACAAAATGAAAAAAAAACTTCACTATTGCCAATGTATGTACACCTGTGCTTTAGATCCTTGATGAGTACAGCACCACACAAATAACTTTAGTGGGCAGGTTACTCCTGAACTTTGCATGCACCATGCCACTGTTTCCATTAGCACAGGTCACTTTACCTCAAATAATATGATTCTTGTTTACCAGGAATCACAGTGTTCTTTTTTCTTCCTTGTAGACATATGCGCATCTCTTCTCAGGTAAAATTCTGTATTGTTGCTGCAACAAAGACCCTCAATCTTCAGGAGAGCAGTGCACTCTCTACTTTTGAAGACCACGTTTATAGCCTGTTCACACAGCTCTGTACCAAAATCTCCCAGGCAGCTGGATTGCCTGGAGCATTTACAAAGTGAGAATGGTCCTTAGTCACACGGACCCTTTAAGGAGCTGCCACCTGTTTAACTTGGTCAATTTGGGTACATTGCTTAAACTGATTTATCCGAATGGAATAAGGAGAGACCGGTGATCTTATGGCAGCATGGCCATCTCCGGGCCAGACGATTTGGCTTCAAGTAACAATCCAGGGCTTGGAGCTTAAGAAAAGTGCATTCATAATGTGGTCAAAACAGTATCAATTTGTAAAGTCTTCCAACTGAGGTCAAAGATGGATGGCAAGGGCACAAGAGATGACTGGTCTGCATGTATAGTAAAGAGAATGGGAGTCTCATCTTCACTAATTATATTTCTAAATTACATACTATATGCAAAAGTTTCAACTGAGATATTCAAGAGGATTTTCAATGATTATTTGGACAGAAATGGGATTATTTTCTATTCATTCACCGGATGTCAGTGCTACTGGCCAGACCAGCATTTATTGCCCATCCCTAATTGCCCAGAGAACAGTTAAAAGTCAAAGACATTGTTGTACGTCTGGAATCATGTGCAGGCTGGACCAGGTGAGGATGGCAGATTTCCTTCTCTGAAGGACATTAGTGAACTACTTGGTTTCTTCCTGATAATGGGTTCATGGTCATCATTCGACTCTTAATTCCACATTTTTATTGAATTCAAATTCCACCATCTGCCTTGGGGGGATTTGAACATGGGTCTCCAAAACATTACCTGGGTCTCTGTATTAATAATCTAATGATAATACCATTAGGCCATTGCCTCCCCTTTCAGGTATGCAGAGATGTGGGGAAAAGACAAGACTTTGGCACTAGGTAATAGAACAGGTGCAATGACCCAAATGGATTCTTTCCACATCATAACAGTTCTGTAACACAGTTTTTGTTGCCACAGAAACTTAGTGTTATAGAATCCTTACAGTGCAGAAAGAGGCCATTTGACCCATCGAGTCTACTCCAACCCTCTGAAAAGCAGCCCACTCAGACCCAGCCTACACAATCTACCATGGCCAATCCACCCAACCTACCCATCTTTGCACTGTGGGAGGAAACCACACTGACACAGGGAGAACATGCAGACTCCAAACACACAGTCACCCATGGCTAGAATCGAACCTGGATCCCTGGCACTATGAGGCAGCAACACTAACCACTGAGCCAGCCTGCTGTGATCATGCTGCCAATGGCATGGGGTTTGATCTCCTTTCTGGTTTGGGTTTGATTCTACCTCCTTGCCCTACGTGTGCTGTTATGGGTTAGAGTTGCGTTTAGGTCAAGCCAATATAAGGGCGAGATGGGGCAGCTTTGGCCAGCTCAGTTAGCTATATGGCTAGCAGGCAGTTCAGAATAATGCCGACAGCACATGTTTAATTCTCATTCCAGACGAGGTATCCCTGGGACCTGCCTCATTGACCTACTCCCTGAGAATGGAAGAAAATGGCACAGGCTGAAGGATCAACAGACAGTGAGTAAACGACCTGCTTTCAGGCAGAGCATATTGTCAATGTCCTTTGTTTCACAAAGAATTTATGGAGTTTGTGGCACAATGATACCACATCAAATCACATCAAGCTCGTGAACTTTGGCCAGTCAGCTTTTGGCATACTATGACTTTCTGTGATGAATGGGTACCACAGGGATTGGAAGACACTACTTACCCCAAACAAAATTTTGTTTTAAATATGTTAGGTTTCATTTGAGTTTCGTAGTTGTTACAGTGCCCTGAGAACTGGTTCTTAATTGGGCTTATTTTCATCCGAAAGAGTTAAACAGGGAAATGTTGGCACGCTGGGATAGCAGATAGAAAGTGGTTGTTTCTAATGCTGCAATCTGTAAATAAATATATTATTGTGAACTGCTGGTGCAGACTCGATGGGCTGAAGGGCCACTTCTCCATTGTATGATTCTATAATTTAATGAACAGTAATAGTCACATACCAACTAGCTTGGGATCAAATGATCTTATCCTGCTGTATCCACATGCGCAACAACACAGCTTATGATGCTAATATAGGGTGAATAGCCAAGGTAATTTTCCCAGGATAGGGGGACCCAAAACTTGACAACATAGGTTTAAGGTGAGACGGGAAAGATTTAAAAGGGACCTAAGGGGCAACATTTTCATGCAGAAGCTGGGGCATGTATGGAATGAGCTGGCACAGAAAGTAGTGGAGACTGGTACAATTGCAACATTTAAAAGGAGTATGTAAAAAGGGTTTAGAGGGACATGGGCCAAATGCTGGCAAATAGAACTAGATTCATTTAGGATATCTGGTCGGCATGGACAAGTTGGGCCGAAGGGTCTGTTTCCAAGCTGTACAACTCTGTCTCTATCACCATTAACAGAGTACGCAAGGCAGATGCATTACGTCTCAACCAAAGGATTAATATGGGCATCTCATCATTGTACACTTTATATTTGATGTAATCAAGATGAAACTGACCCAGTGCATTTGTAAAGTTTGCCAAACAATTTTGATGACGCTGCTACCCATATTAAGGGTAGTTTGCCAATGTGAGATGAAAAACTGAAATGCAGTCACTCACGCATCTATTAGAAGTTAATCACACATTAGCCTATTTTCATACTACTTGCCCAACTACCTTTTGAGCTGGGAATGGACATGTTGACAAAAAGAGAAAAGAAATGCTTTACCTCAAA